CAATAGCCATCATAATACCAAATAAGATAAATATAAAAGAAAAACCACAAAGAGGCTGTCCTAGAACTTGCTCTGTAGACCAGGCTGGCCTCAAACACAGAGATCCACTTGCCTCTGCCTTCTGAGTGCTTGGATTAAAGATGTACACCATCACCACACCAGGTGAGATGATTTCTTAAAGGAGATACACAAAGGCAAATAAACTCAACATCTTTAGCCACTAGGAAATACAAATCTCAACTGCAAGAGCATGGTTATAACTAAAAACACAGGCATAGGCAAGTTTTGGCAAGGGATGTAGAGAAACTGGAGTCTTCATACACTGTTAGTGGAAATGCAAAAATGGAACAGTTTCTTTGAAAGACCATCTGGAGTTTCTCAAATGTGAGATGTAAGATAAACATGACTCCACAATCCTTCTCTTAGAAACAGAACTAGAGGAAGACAAATTCTACACAAAACCAATATGTAAGAACTCAGAGTAGCAAGTTTTCAATGCTCCTAAAGTGGTAACATCCCATGCATCAAACAATTAACAAGTAAGTGAATGAAGGAATACAATGTGACATATCCATATACTAAAATATGCAATGACAGAAGTACTGATACTGCCACAATGTGGATAAACCTGGGAACACCATGTTGAGTGAAAATAGCCAGTCACACAAGTATGACAGAAGGCCACATATGACATGATTTTATTAAAATGAAATGTTCAGAACAGGTAAATCCACAGAAACAGAGATAGATAAGTGGTTGTCAAGAGTAACAGTGTAACTGTGAGGAGTATTAGCATACTTTGAAGTGACAATGTAAAACTGTTTGGGTGGTAACTACATTAAAATCTAAAATGTGTGCACTTCAGTTTTAAATTTTTTTATTTTTTATTATTTTATTTTTTTATTTTTATTTATTCGAGACAGGGTTTCTCTGTGTAATAGCCCTAGCTGTCTTGGAACTTGTTTTTTTATACCAGGCTGGCCTCAAACTCACAGAGATCCACCTGTCTCTGTCTCCTGAGTGCTGGGACTAAAGGAGTATGCCACCAATGCCTGGTTATAACTGCATATTCTTAAAAACTAGAAACCCCGATAACACATCAACAAAAAAGGCAGATAATCATTTCTATATACACAAGGGACAGACCTCCTGTCTCATACTAGAACCTAAATATTATGCAAGGGCATAATACATTAACACAAACTAAATACCAGTTTCAGTCCAGAACAATTCACAGAACATCAGATTATATACAGCTGGAGGCGTAGCTGCATGGTAGAGTGATTGGCTTGGCCTATATAAGGGTCTGTGTTCAAGCCTCAATAACACACACACACACACACAAACACGGATAGCTATCTCACACCATACCTAAGCATAAAAATTCCTATCTAATTTTGTATATGCAAATGAGAAAACCTAAGATTTCAGTTCTGGAGCCATGCAGTCCTGGGGTGGGGGTTTCAAGCTGGGTTATAGACACCTTATGGCTTCCACTTTGGAGCTTATAAGAGCTCTGAGACTGGATGGGGAGGGGAGGAAGTGGACACCTGGGGGTCTGTAGGGACCAATTAGAGCCCAGATAACCGTGATCAGAAACCTCCCCAGAGAAGGAAACAGAAAGGTTCACAGTCTAGCAATAGATTTCTTTCCTGGCGGTGAGGATAAAGTTACAGTCAATCAGCTTGAGGCACCTGAGAGTCTGGATCCTGATTTGCTGACATGGTCCCTGCTGGGCGTGGGTATCTTACATGGTTTTCCTAAAACTGGGTCCTGGTTAGATTAGTGAGGCACAGGTGAGTTATTGGGCAGATAGAGAAGGGAGACGTGCTGTTGGAACCAGATAGGTCTACACAGCTGTATGTGGGTGCCTGCAAAGAGGAGTGGCCCACAGCTAAAAGGTTTGTTTTTCCTCCACCTTTGTTTTCCTAAGATACAGCCTGTCATTACTCAGATAACCAGGATAGACAGGTGGGGCCCTTGCCCTCCATATCTCCAACATTCTCTGGGAGGAGTAAACAAACACCAAATGAATAACCAGGCAGGTTTCCTCTGATCTTGTTCTGTCTCAGAGAGTATTATTTCTGGTAGTATCCCAGAAAAAGGGGTGTTTCTTCATGCTCTCATTGTAGCAACTGCTTGATTTTTGACAAGATACTTTTTGGGGAAGACAAACAGGCCTGAGAAGCCACTCTTAGTGTTGGTTTGAGATGCTGGAAGAAGTCTGAATTTGGTTTAAAAGAGAGGGAAAGACACTGAATATTCACCATGACTGGGTTTCACCATGACTAGGAGGTTCAAGTGTTTGGCACAGTCATCACCACAACTCTGGTGAGCACCTTAATCATGAATGGTGTCATAATGAGGGGAGCATTGCTTAGAGGGAAACATCACATTAGACAGGAAGCCATAGTGAGGGGATGGGCTAAGTCAGCTTTTTCCTCTCTTCCCTTCCCCATCCTTTTTTCTTTCACTGTTGGAGGCTGAACTCAGGACCTTGCCCATTCTAAACAACCATCCCATCACTGAGCTTAGTCCCAGGCACCCAGACTTCTCTCTTATTTATTTATTCATTCATTCATTCATTCATTTATTTATTATTATTTTTGTTGTTGTTTTGTTTTGTTTTGTTTTTCAAGACAGGGTTTCTCTGTATTGCCTGTCCTGTAACTCACTCTGTAGACCAGGCTGGCCTCGAACTCACAGAGATCCGCCTGCCTCTGCCTCCCAATTGCTGGAATTAAAGGTGTGCTCCACCAAAGCCCGGCTCAAACTCCTCTTTTTAAATATGTTGAGAACCAACTCAGGTTCCTGTGAAAATTGAAGAACTACGTGTTTTCCAAAAGCAGCACTCCAAAAGACCTCAAGGGAAAGGTCCCATCTTTTAATCCATCTCAACATCACCACTTTGAGAGAAATGCTTACAGCACGGGGACACTTGGGAACACACTCAGATCACACCAAACCACTGCAAATGGAATCACACCACAAATAACAGTAGGGTCGGTATTTATTCCCTCACTCTGCATAATTATGCAGGTTGCTGAATGTATTTGCTCTTTGATTCTGAATAATATTTCATAGTGTAGTTCACTTGACCATTCACTGACTGAAAGACAGCCAAGTGTTTATACTTCCTTGATCACAAATAAAGCTGCTACAGGGTTTTATCTCTCATGGATAAATACTCATGGCTGCAATGGCTGGGTTATGTGATAACTACGTTCTTGGTTTCATGAACTTGTTTCTATAGCCTTGACAACATTTAGAGTTGTCAGTATTTTTATTTAGTCCTCTAAGAAGAAGTATGGTATTCGCTCATTATGGTTTTGATTAGAATTTTACTGATGGCTAATAAAGATAGTCATTAATCCTTATTTGCCATCTGTTTATTCTCTTCAGTCTTTTGTCCATATTCTAATTGGGTTTGGAAAACACTATGTAGTAGTCCTTTGTTAGATATGTGGTTTGCAAATACTTCCTTCCCATCTGTGTGTAGAAAAGCCTCTTGATAGATGCTACATTAACCATATATGTCAGTTCAGAGAAAACTAGTATCAGCTAAAATGCTGAGTTTTTCAGTACATGAGTAATGTACACTTGTCCATTACTGTAGGTCCTTGTTGTTTTTTTCCATTAGTGTTGTGCAATTTTTAGCATATACGTTTACAGCTGAGTATTATCTTTGATGAGATCATGAATATATTGTTTTTCATTTTGGTTTCCATGGTGTCCACACTAGTAGTGTTTAGGAAGACAGCTGTTGATGATATATTGATCTTATGCTTGATCCTAGTTGAACTCACATCCTCAGTGCAAGAGCCCTAAGACAGTGGATGGGCAGGTCAGGAAGTATCCATAGTGATGGCCCCATTTGGAGATAGGCTACTTAAATCAGAAACTGGTGACAGACTGGTTCCGGTCTAAGCTAGGACACTGAACTACCCCCTCAGTCTCCCAGATAGAATGTAAGGATGTCAAAGTCCCCAGGCCAAGGCGGCTCCAGGTCACAGGGGAAGGGTCTGGGAGGCCAGGTCTTCAGGGAAGTGACTATGAACTTCGGATTGAGGGTGAGCAGGGGTGAGACAGATAGGAAAAGGAAAGGGCAAAGAAGAGGGCAAGGACCATAGGCCCTATCGTGGTCTCAGAGTAGGACTGCCCTTTTCAGGGTATCACCAGGGTTTTGCCTATTTTCTCCTTACTGGACAGGACCTCACTTCCAAACAGAAGACTCCATCTAACATTCACACAGACCCACTACGAGCACACCAAAGGCCAGAACCACACAGCAAGCCTGTTTAGGCCTGTGTGTTTGACAGGTGATACCATCCAATAGTGAAGATAAACAGCAGGAATCCTGGGAAATGGAGGCTAGCCTAGGCTACACAAGTGAGACTCCGGGTTTAAAACCTAATTCCTAAGCCCCAAAAGTGAACAAAACGGAATAGTAATCTTGAAGGCAAGACCATAGGGATGTGTTTGAAGCAGAAAGAGCCTACTCATTGAGCGAAACCCACCTCCTTCTCCTGCCTGAACAGTTCCCTCTATTCCTCAGCAACAGGGCCTGTTCATGCCCCAACAACTCCTCCCTCCTCTTTAATAGTCTGAGCAGGAACTTTGGCCCACTGGGCTTCTCTAGGACTGGCCAGGCCAAACACAGTGGCAAGAAGTGTTGGATTATTCTTGTCAGCTGCTTTAGCCCGAGTCAGGTGACTTCTTTGCCAGGCCTCTCCTTTCTAACAGAAAGCAACTGCCCAAGCTTACTCAGCCCAGCTGTTTCCCAGATGCAAAGGCGAATCAAAGAGCCTAGAGTGGGGTTTGGGGCTGAGCTTCAGGCAGGCGTGGTACGTACAGCCAGGCTAAGCTTTTCCTTGCCCTCCACCCCGCCTCTTCCTCCTCTGGGAGGAGTCTAGTGACTGTCCTGGATTAGAGGCTTTTGGAAAATTGATCCCACTCTCCTCCTACTTGTTGACCTCGGGCCTTTTGTGGCTGAGGTTTGGGACCTCAAGAATTTTGGGGGGCTTTCAGGAAATGCAGAGTTTGCTTTCCCGCACCTACCACCGCGATGAAGTTCCCGGTGCAGGCCACACAGGCTGTGGTAAAATTAGCTCTTAAGGGAACTTTTATCCCTCCGGTTTCCACCTTGCTTTCTGTCGAAGGGTAACCCTGGCTTCTCCCACTCAACTTGCCTTCGGAGCGGGGACTAACCAGATCATTGCGCCGGCCCTGTTCCTGGGAATCTCGCCCACGCACTGCGCCTGCAGACGCTGGGATGGTCGGGACTATGGGGGACAGACTGGAAGCCTGGAACAGGCCAGGAACATCTGGAACTGCTGGAGATGAGGTGCCTCGTCTCCGCGCCTATGCACGCCGCTGGATCTTCCTGCTGGTGGTCAGCCTCCTGAGCTGCTCCAACGCAATGGTACACGGGCCCTGGGACGGGTGGGTGGGGGTCCTAACAGCAGCCCCAGCACTAGTTTGTTTTTTGCTCCCTCACGGAAATCGACTTTCTAGCTCAAGAGGTTGTAGAAGAAAAGGTAAGTGCCTGTCCCGGCTGGAAGGGAACGGCCAGGGGGACAGGTCTGTTTCAAGGATCTCAACCCTGCCACTTGTTGCTTTCTCATACTCTCCCTAACCCCCAAATGCTACTACCAGGGGCCCACAGACCCTCCTTCATCCCATCAGACACAGGTGGACTGTAGGCAATCCTTTCTTCCTAGGCACAGGTCCACAGGCATTTGAGCCTAGGTGGAAAGAGAGTATGGAGCTGTTACCATCTACTGCTCAGAGACAGCCAACCCTGTACCTCTCTGGTGCTGGGTCTCCCTAGTACGTGTGAAGGAACTTTGGGTTACATATGGCCACTTAGCTTAATGGATAGTATTTGGGGCAGGCATCTATGAGTTGTAACACATACAGCTCAGAGAGTGCCAAGCTAGTGGGATCATATGGACATAGAACCCACTGTGTGTATGGTGTCCAGGGCACACCATGTGAACCAGCAATAGATTGGTTTCCATTGCCTTTTCTTTTTTCCTGTTGTGCTGGTTGTGAATAAACAGCTTTGAGTAAAGGTAGGGATACAGGTGATACCTGTTGTGATCCTGCAGTTTACTAACTATAGCCATATCAGAAACTTCTCTCCTGGTGGTTGCCTTTGCAAGCTGGGACTTGCCGCTATGGCTTGGCTCACGGGTCCCCTTTCTAGCATTAGGAAACATAACTGGCTTGGGATGGATGTCTGAGAATACATGTAGAAATCTACTTGAATCTCACCTTCTGTAGATGTGGTGTCTGGGACACTTGGGTGGTGTCCTGCTGTCCTTGTAAAGCAAACAGAATATTATTACCCCATACTAAAAATTGTCATGATCCAGGTGGGTACTCATTGTGAACAGTGGGCTTCATGTTCAGTCATGCTTCCTGGGGTCCCTGCTCATTTGACTGGGCTCCAGGTTTCTGAGAGAGCAGAGCTTGCTGTGAGACCAAGAGATGGCCCTGCAGTTTGTATGGGAAGGAGATCAGAGGGTGAGCCAGGGCAAGGCTGAGAGCTGGTTGAAAGTATTCTTGTACAGTAGGTCAGATGAGGATTTTTTTCTCCCCACATCTGTTGCCTTACACTGCTAGAGATATCTCTGCCCTTTTGTATGTGGGGCCACAGCTCTGGGAGGTGCAAGGACAAGCCTGTGAGACTTGTGAGATGGGCTCTGTTTTCTTGCTCAGCACAGCAGGTTCTGAAAACTTACCTGGTTCCTGTCTGTTCTATGAGGCCAGGCAGGAGACAACTAGGCTTGCATGAAGTGCTTTCTAAGCCTGGGAGATCTGTTTCTTCTATTGTACTCTGAGGGAAAAAAAGGAAATGCAGCTGTTACACAACCTTGCCTTGGTGTTTCCTGGGACTTTGTGGTTGGGAAGTCTGACACTCTCTGTTCAGCTGTGGAGGGTGTGGCCTGGACCTCTATCATCCTGAGTAGGGTTTATCAGGAACTTTGATTTGGGACACAACAGTTGTTGGAACAACATATCTGTTCTATTTGTCTAAACTTGGGTGACTCTTTCCCTCTACTCAGCTCCCCTTAATTCCTCCAGAAAAACTTCTTCCACTTTGCACTCTTCTGTTACTTGGGTTTCAGAGTCCCTATGCTTTGTAACATCTAAGGATGTTTTGCAGAGAGAGCTGCCATAGATTCCATCCTATCCCTATAGAAGTCCTGGGCTTGGAACTCTTCTGTCTTTGCTTTGTTTGGCCCCTCCTTGGTTCTTATGCATATTCTGAGCCCCCAGCGTATCATTTAGCCATGTCTGGATGTCTGGCATGGGATTTCCACCACACACCAGGCCTCAGTCTCCCCAAAATGTGTTTCTTGCCCATCTTGTCTGAGCACATTGCCCAACCATGAGATTTGGAACCGTGGCTACCATCTGTCTTCACTCCCATATCTCTCCCTTCTGTACTGTGTGTTCCAATGCTACATCCTTAAGTGCTATGACCCACTCAGTGTCCAGGATATCCCACCCACTGAGATTCTGGCTTCTCTGGTTTTCATTACTCACAAGTCTCAACTGCCTACCTTCCTCTTTCCACCACCGTCAACACAGTGCCTCCCAGTCAGTGGCACCATCCCCATTGATTGCCTTTACCCTCCTCAGAGAATCAGACCAATCCTGATAGGTTAATGGTCTTTCAGACTCTGGCCAGGTTCATGGTCCACTGCTGGGCAGGCTGTGGACTATGCCTGACTGCTTTTCTGGTTTGTAACAGGGTAAGGGTGGTTCTCTAGCAGGGTGATCCAAAGTTTGTATTAGGCTCTGTCCTCATGGACTTTACATGCTTGCCCACACCCCTGCTCCTACCCCGAGTTAGCCAAATAGGGACCATAAGCTTCAGCAAGAGTGGGGCTGGCTAGGTGGTGCCTGTGACCCACAGCTGACTTATGTGTATCCCATAGCTATGGCTCAGCTTTGCACCTGTAGCGGACACCATTGCACAGCACTTCTTCCTGTCCATGGACCAGGTCAACTGGCTATCACTAGTCTACCTTGTAGTATCCATCCCATTTGGCATGGCAGCCATCTGGGTTCTGGACTCCTTTGGACTCCGTGGAGCCGTAAGTCAGTATCTCGTATTTGTATGGCAAGGGTGGGACTCTTAGACTTTGAATGCAGAAGCCTGGACTTTTCTCCAGATTAGAGTCCATCAGCCCCACTGTCTGGACTCTGTAGGCAAAGAAGCTGGGTATGGCAAGTAGATACTGGGGTAACCCTATGAACTAGGGATAGACATCTGGAAATGTAGGTGTAGAGGATCTAGACTGGCATGTAGTCTTTTGACTGTCCATTCCTGCAGACTGTCCTGGGTGCGTGGTTGAATTTTGCTGGGAGTTTGCTACGTGCTGTGCCCTGCTTGGATATCAGGATCCCCAATCCCTTTGCCTTCTTCATGAGTGGCCAGAGCCTCTGTGCCCTGGCCCAGACTCTGGTCATCTCTTCTCCAGCCAAGCTGGCTGCCTTATGGTTTCCAGAGCACCAGCGAGCCACAGCTAACATGATTGGCACCATGTGTGAGTCCTGGGGTGGGAATCTCTGTAACCTGGGCTCAGCTCACAGACCCTGCTGGATGTGTGTCCTATGCTCCCCAACTTGAGCTAAGGCTGAGTTGCCTGAGCTAGGAAGGATTCCCCCCAAGGATTGGGGTGAGGCCTGCCACAGCTGAGCTCATACAGCTGCTTTTCTATCCAGCAAATCCTCTGGGCATCCTTATGGCAAATGTGCTATCTCCTGCCCTGGTCAAGAAGGCAGAGGACATCCCCATGATGGTGAGGGGCTCATGATGATCTTGCATGTGTGACATGTATGCTATGTGAACTTGAGTACATGAGTTGTACTGGTGTGTGATCTATACACATACATACACGTCTAGTATATGCCCATGCTTGTTGGTATGGCATACCTGGGTGTGTTAGCATGATTTGCTTCTTATGTGGGGATAAGTTTGGAGCCTTGGGAAGTTGGGCTGGTGTTATCAAGGAGGGATTCATCCTTGAGTGTTATTTTGAAAGCTAGGTTCTACATGAAACCATGAAGAACAGCTGAGGTTGGAGAGATACAGCTCCCCAAAGGAGTTGGGCTTGCTGATTCTGGAGATTAAAGTCAGGTGACAGCTAGTAAGGTGGACAGAGCAGACTGAGACACGTGGGGGCACATGTGTCAGTGTGGCTTCTTTGTGACACTCAGAATCTCTCCCCAGCTTGGCATCTACATTTCCCCTGCTGCCCTTGCCTGTCTCTTGGCCACTACCTGCCTCTGGGAGAGTGTGCCTCCTACCCCACCATCTGCAGGGGCTGCCAGCTCTACTTCAGAGAGTTTCCTCCATGGCCTCAAACTGGTGGGTTGTGTGGATTCTGGGGGCAGGGAAACTGTGGTCAGAAACTTGCTTGGGCTCCTGTGCTGAGGGCTGTTTGTCCCTCTAGCTCATACGGAATAAGGCCTATGTTATCCTGGCCATATGCTTTGGTGGTGGCATTGGTGTCTTCTCCAGCTTCTCAGCTCTCCTGGAACAGATGCTTTGTGCCAGTGGCTACTCCAATGTAAGTAGTAGCCCTGCCTTTGGAGTGGACTCTGTCTTTGCCAAGACTACCTACTGTCCTGAGCACTCAATTCACCCCTGATAGGGATGAGATCGACAGCCTCTCATGGAGGTGGCAGTCATGGGTGCTTATACATCCCTGGGTCATGATACGCCTGCCTCCTGTGTCAGAGTCTGCCTCCTGACACAGTGGTGGGTATAGGTCTCTCATGTGCCTTAGCCATGCACCCAGGGTTATGGGCTATCTGTGGTGATGGTACCCCTTTCCCTTTAGTGGGGTTCACATTGCAGAAAGTGCATTCTAGGAGGCAGCTTGACAGGGTGGTCTAGCCTGGTCCTGTGGTGATGACATATGCTCTAAGGAGTCTTGTTGACTCCCTGACTCCTGATGTGAAGCTTGCCCTCCCCACTTCCAGGAGTTCTCAGGCCTCTGTGGGGCTCTCTTCATCGTGTTTGGGATTTTGGGGGCACTGCTTCTAGGCCTGTATGTGGATCGGACCAAGCATTTCACTGAGGCCACCAAGATAGGCCTCTGTCTGACTTCCATGACCTTCGTGGCCTTTGCTCTGGTGAGACTCATTAGGAACAGAGACTACCTACCCAGGATGGGGGGATGCCATGGCAGGTGGGTGGGTGAAGCACAGAAGGTACCTTGGTGGCTTTCCCAGAGCTGGTGCCTCAGTGTCAAACCTGGCTTCTGCCTGAGGGTAGGACTGGCTTCACTCCATGTTACCCAATCTAGGAAGACACAGGGGAGGTGGCATGATTCACTGCCATCCCTGTTCCATTCTTCTCTACCTCTTTGTTGGTGCCAGGTGTCCCAGCTGCAGGGACAGACCTTCGCATTGGCTGCCATCTGCTCCCTCCTTGGGCTCTTTGGCTTCTCAGTGGCACCTGTGGTCATGGAGCTGGCAGTTGAATGCTCGTTTCCTGTGGGTGAAGGTGCCTCTGCTGGCTTGGTTTTTGTCCTGGGGTGAGTATCCTTCCGCATTGGCCACTTTCCCATGGCATGGATTCTTTTCCTTACGGGTCCTGGACCATGGCTTCTGATCCACGAATCTAGGAACCTGCTTACTCTGGCCAGGGATAGGCATGTACTGAGTACTTGCTGTGTGCAAGCCTGTGCCAATGCAGTGTGGGCAGAGATAGCATACTGGCTCAAGAGTGACAGGTGTCATAGAGGTGAGCATAGATGTTTTCCCTTCCCAAAATAGCATTCAATGTGGTGGGCAGAGAGATTTGCTGCTTAGGTTGATGGCCCTTTGTATCTAGGCAGGCCGAGGGTGTGCTCATCATGCTGCTACTGACATCACTGACTGTACGGAGAACAGGTCCATCCTTTTCTACCTGCCGACAGGGTGAGGAACCTCTAGACTGGACAGGTGAGTGCCTATGCCCAGACTTTGGCCCCAGAGACCCAACACCAGGAAGATAGGGTGTTAGGAGGCCTGGCCCAGTTGAGGATCTCAATTCTCATTGCTCTTTACTCCCCCTGGGCAGGCGCCAGTTGGTGTGAAGCAGTATGGTCAGATAGATGCCTGGACTCTGCTTGTGGGTGTAGCCCAAAGACCTTGACAAAAATCCAGCATCAATATCTCAACCCAGTGTGACTTGTTGAAAAATCCAGGAACATAGAGACTGAGAAAGGGGGCAGAGAACTTGGGAGTGAAAAGCAGAGAAAGAGACAAAGATAGAGATAGAAATAGAGAAATATAGATATTTACATAGAAATAGAAATAGGAACAGAGAGAGACAGGGACACAGAGTGTCTACCTGGATAGATGGAGGGGTAGATAGTCAGGGATAGAGATAGAGATGATTTGGAGATGAGAGTGTGTAGAGATCAGTAGTAGTGCACACATGTCCACAACTTGTGGTTCCCAGTTTTTGGAACCTGGAACCTGAGGGCTGAGATCACGACTGTTTCCAGAGTTCTCTGTGGTCACCATCACTAGGATCATTTGGGTCAGGTCTACCAAGACTTTTGGCTATGGTGGGAGCTGGGGGCCTCAACTGCCTGGACATTTGAGGGACAGGCCTCCGCTTGTGTCCTTAGAGTCCCTGCTGCTGCTGGCTGGCCTGTGCACCCTTTTCACCTGTGTCTTGGTGCTGTTCTTCAACACTCCATATCGGCGCCTGGAGGCTGAGTCTGGAGGACCTCCTTCACCCAGGATGTGTGCCAAGGAGCCAAGGATAGTAAGCCCTACCCAAGAGCCACCCCTTGAGACTCCTGGATTGATGCCTCTAGCTGGGGCCTTGCAGGAAGCTCCTGACCCTGCTTCCCTCCACAAAGGACACTCAGAATGGGCAGAGACATCCAGGAAAGCAGAAGCTTGCTAGGGTCTATTTGACTGTGCCAGTCATACTAAGAGCTCTGACAGGGACACAGGGTCCTGAGCATGCCTAGGGGATGATGGGATGGCCTTTTGTTCCTCGGGTAGACAATGATTGATTGAAAATAACTGCTGTTGTATGGATACTAGTCAGTTAGGGTGGACCCTGGCCAAACCAGACTTGTGGTGGCTGCTGCACGGAGGGCCTGTTCAGAGGCAAAGGGAGTGAGTGGGAGATTCCTGGCAGGAAACTGAGGGAGTTCTGAGGATTATGGCATGGCCAGTCTGAGTTAGACAAGTGTAGGAAGATTTTTGTCTCAACTGAGTGACCAGACACTTAGCCTGATTCTAGGATAGCACAGAGGGTGGTGAGCTGGTCTGAGCAGAGTGGGAAGCAGAAGGATCTCTGGTAGACACACTCCCTCCAACGAACACTCACAGGTGTTTGTGTGTCCAACTTTATTGAACTGGTTGCAGCTTATAGCCTGAAGAATAGAGAAGCTCATGCTGCCTCCTATGTGTGGGTGAGCCTGTAGCTCAGCACTTTGTAGTCTAGGTTTCCAGCCACATCAATGAAGGCAAACTCCAACATCTGATTCACTTGAATGAGCCCTAGATGGGTAGGGTATTGGTAGGGACATCAAGTTGTTGTTGAGCCTGGAGAGACCAGGCTCCTGGGCTCCAGACCAGACACAGTAAATTTCTGGCACTGAACTCCATTCAATGTGTTCTTGCTTCTTATTTGACCTGTTCAGGGATGGAGAGGGGCAGAGGGCCAAAGGGCTAAGCCAGGGGAGGGGCTAGGGATGTATGCTAGGTGGGGCCAGAAGAGGGATGAAGGAAGAGGGTGAGACGAAGAAGGGTGGGAGAAGGGAAGGTGTAAATGAGAGGGGTTGGGGGGAGGGATACTGGGATTGAAAACCATGGTGGGGATGGTGGGGAGTACATGGTATAGACAGCTGGAACCTAGACCTTATTCCTGTCTCCTAGTCTGTTGCCTCTATTATTGAGCTAGATGGCAGCAGGGTAGGGGTGTATCATTTTGGGGGAATGTGGCTCCTAGCTGCCCTCTGATATACTTGGGATTGTAGAAGCCATGGGAGGTGGGGGTTGGGGACTGTGCAAACCTCATTTGCAGTCATCTTGTTGGCTTGAAACATCAGTAGACATTTGATACTAAGAGTGGAAAAGGGATTGATTAGCTGCTCTGAGAAGTTCCTTCTTGAGGCTCCTCTTGTGGGAGAGACCTGAGGATAGTCTGATGTGTATAACCTGTTCCCCTATCATCGAAGCTCGGATGCCTAATGGTCCCTGGAGCTCATCATGACTCACAGCAGGTACCTAATGGAGTAAGAGGCAAATGCCTGGGGCACCAGAATGTTTCCCTTCCCTAGTGCTATATGTAAGTAAACCATCTATGAAAGGACTTAAGACAACAATAGATGGATGAACAATGACTACCTGGGTAATGAAGGCACAAATGGCAAGAATGACCTTTCTCTTAGTTGTTCCAAATGACTCTAATGTGTGGGAGTCGAGATTCACTAGACTTGGTGCTGTAAAGTGGAGTTTATTCAGGGAGAAGTCACTTACACAAAAGGCAGGTGATCACCACAAGTCCCGCTCTAATCACTCACTGGGCTGCTGTCCATGACCTGATCAGAGCACGCTCGGGTTGATGGTGGGGGCAGGAGCCAAGATCTAACCTAACCCTCTGTCATGTCCACACCTGTAACTACGCCCAAACCGGTGTGGTCAGTGTTGCAGGTGCGGGCAGGGTGGATAGCTCTGCTCTTAGGGTCTCCAGATGGCTATTTGAAATCTTGGAGTTACAGTTCAAGAGAGGATGGTGAGGTGGGCTTGGGTCCAGGCACTGTCTCTTTTCAGAGTAGATATTCCCCAGACCCCTAAGCCAGACTCACTATTCCTTGTGGATGCCACCATTGCCATCAAGGATGAGCATCTTGAAGCCATTTAGGATGGTCTCTGTATTTGTGCCTGCTCACAAAAGGCTTTTAGAGGCCTGTCTTGTCCTAGAGTGTCAAGTGCTTAGTGTCAAGTGCTGTGCAGTCTGGGGAGTCTTTCCTATTCTTGGGCCCCAAGAACCTTTGTAGCCCTGACTTCCGTTTGGGAGCTAGGGCTCTGAGAGTGACAGAGCCTACAGAGAGCTAGGCATATGAGAGATATGTTGGGACTCACGGGACTTTGGAACTACTGAGAGAGGTTTCTCATGAGATGCCACTTTGTATAAGGTAGGCTGAGGGTTACCATCCCAGGGGTTTGGACAACCAGTGTGAGCTTAGGAAGCCTGGCAGTGACACAGATAACTCCTTCTCTGAGCCCAGTCACTAGGAAGCTTTGTTCTGCTAAGGATGCATTTCCAAGGCTTCATGCCACATTAATGGCCAAAGGCCCTGTGATCTGAGCCATCCTAGGTACCTGGAGGGTTTTTTTTTTTTTTAATTTTTAGAAACAATATTTGGAGTTTTAAGTGCAAAGAACTAAACACTAGCAGGTGGCAGAAGTGAGGGCTGTCCCAGGACATAGCTCACTGCTCATCTCCCAAATACATTCAGGATGGGCCCTGAGGACTCTCCAGTATGGCATCCACCTTGTCTTTGACATTAGTTTTGTCTGTTGCAAGCATGGGCAGGGATGAGGTGTTCATTGTCATCCCAAACCCACTCTGTCCTTGGCCCTGGCAAGTAACCCCATGGGACAGCCTACATCTGCCATTCACAGGGTGACTGCAAAAGAGTGCTCAGCACATGTACACAAAGCATGGAAGACACTAAGTGTGGGGAATACAGACTGGAGTTAATCAGGTCACTTCAAATCTAAGACACCATTTTCTGTGGAGCAGAGGAGAAAGTTGAGGACTGTTTCTGTTCTCAAATATAGGGAAGGTGGATACTAGGGAATCCCCATCCTAAGTAAGATGTAACTGCCTTTCCCAGTTCCTAAGGTGGGGCCAAAAGCCTCCTACCTGCCACCTCAGGAGTGTCTTATGATAGGCCACTGAGACAGGGAGGGTTAAGTACCCACTGATGTGGCTTGAAGAAAGTGGGGGAAGAACTGGCATCTGGCTCTGAGATGATGAGTAGGGCCTACCCATATATACCCTCTTCCAAGCACACAATGTGTGCAGGTGTGGGGAGTGGCTAGGGCTGGATGTGTCACCCACTGGGTTGCCTCCCCAATCCCTGCCTTAAGCCCATTCCAGGTTTTTCTAACCACCCTGAACCCCCTCTGTCAGCCCTAAACAAACCAGGGCCTTGAGTAGCTACCCTGAGAGCAAAGTCCTCTAGAATAACTAAGGGAAACTAAACAAACATAGAGATAGCCATAACACCTCCAAATATGAGAGAGAGAGAGAGAGAGAGAGAGAGAGAGAGAGAGAGAGAGAGAGAGAGAGAGAACATTTAGGGGCAATTTCCTTACGATACTTGAGGAAGAGATCTCACTTACTCAGGGAAGTGTAAGTGTCCTATAGGTCCTCTTTGTCAGTGAAGCTATCTCTGTTCTTATCCATGAGTGTGAAGACCTAGGCATCAATGCCAGACTTATAGCACTGCTGGTGGCCCAGATTTGCCTCAGCTCCTACCCTTATCCCCATACCTGGCTCTGCTCCATCAAATGGACAGGCACTCTGAGGCCACATATGTCCTCCCATACCAACTCTGTGAGTGGCTCCCAGGGAGCAAAAGCAGACTCACCTCCTAGAACTTCCACACCTTGGGTCTGCTCAAAGTTGGAGAAGACATTGGAGGGTGCTCTTGGGGTATGCATTGCCATTTTCCTTCTTGGTCTTCCTGCTGGCTTGAGAGGCAGGAGTCCCAAGGATGAGGACTTTGGGGCCACTGGGGGAACAGTCAGGAACAAACCATGATTTGGGAGACAGCTCACAAAATGGGAAAACTGGCACTGGAGGGTTTAAGCAGCCCACCATGTCCAATTTTAGAGGGCTCTGGGGTAAATGGACTCCAAGGATGGACTCTTGACCGGCTGGCATCCAGTTTTGTTAAGTCCCGGATTTTCCCTCCCTCCATCCCCCCCCCCATTCTTTCCAGATTGTCATCATGGCAACCATAGGGCATTTATCGCCAAACCCACACCATTGTATATGTTCACACGAGCACACACACAAAGACATTTATGTTAAGTACATGCATACACACATTTGGAAACCCAGCACCTCCCTGGCTGCCTGCTCACCATGCCTGAGCCTTTCCTGCCTGCTTGTCCTAAGATGCTGCCTGTCCCCCTAGGATAGCTCAGACTTTGGTTAACACTTCCTACAAGGGCAGGCTGAGGACTGCCATCCCAGGTGTTGATATCCTGGCTCCCTCTCCCTGGGTCCTGGGTAACCTGGCCCTGTTCCTTCTCCTGACTCCTCTCCTTCTCCTGATGCATGGTTTCCCTCAGTACCCATCACTCCACAACAGCCTTCTCCTGGGCCTGTGACTTCTCCTTTGGGAACCTTTTCCTGGTCCTTTGTACTCCTCAGGTTCTCTCCCTGCCTCAGGATCGCTCAGCGACTTTCCCTCATTCCTGGATCTATCTTTGACAGATCAAAGGCTGTCAGAGGTTGCATGGCCACATCGTGCATGCATTAAGTGGCTGCATCAGGACTCTGCATGTAGAGGCCACGTGGAGCTGGGCCAACCCAGTTCCCTGACTCCAGTTTCAACTGCCCCAACTGCTGAGTCTTATTCTAAACCACTCCCTTTCTCTTTATAAGCAAGCACCTCCCACCCATTCTCTCTTTCCATTGCTGCTCCCAGTCCGTTAACACCTACCCCTTTCTTCGCTCCTTTTCTCAATAAACTCCATGTGGGTTTGTTGAGTTTGGTGGGTCCTGTTTCATTGCCTGAAGCTGCAGCAAAGAACAACACCGGGAACTGGACAGCTGCTGAGTGAGCTTAGGTAGCCTGGTGGTAACTCAGACACCCCTTCTCTCAGCCCAGGTACCAGGAGGTTTTAGTCTGCCAGGCCTTGTGCCAAGCCTTGGTCAAAGGCTTGGGGGGAGGGGGTCTGAGGCATGCTAGGCAACTGGGCTCTGCTATAGGTGTTGAGGATAGAGCACTACCTTTTCAAGACCAGCAGAGGTACTGTTCATGGCTCTTGCCCAAAAATTTATGTTTTGCTCTGTGTGTATCAGGTCTTTCACAGCACTACTTTTACTTTCTGATTAATTGGTAAATTCAAGACCCATTCTGCAGTTGGGTGGTGGGCAATAATATTTCTGTGTTGGAAGAGCCTTGAAGATGGTTAAACTGCCTGCAGTGGAGTCACTCTTGGCATGACCCTCAGGATTCCCCTTACTCCCTCATCTTATAGCAAAGTTCAGGGAAGCAATATGACTTGTACTTTGTCGTTGATGCCAGACACTGGGTGTCTGGGGTGAGAGTAAGGAGATATAGGAGTGGCCTGCAGGCTGTATGGGTTGAGGAAGTCCAGAAACTAGAATGAAATGAGCAGATGAGATCCCCACAGTCCCATACTTTGGAGGCCTAAGCCAGCTAGGAGTAACAGGAAGCAGGGCCTCAGCAGCCACAGATGGGACAAGTGGGAAGGCAGTGTACATCTGATAGCTGGGTGACCCCTACCTGATACATTTCTAAATTGTTACATTTTCCACACTGTGCATAGTCAAGATGTCCCTTCCTATTCCACAAGGTCATAGCCTCAGTCACAGAAGCTCCTTCCCAGATGCTATGTCAGATCTGGAGGGGGAATTACCAGATGTGGGAGTTTGTTCAGGTGTAGCTGAATGGTAGCTGTGAGTAAAGGGCCTCAGTTGGGCTCAGCCCAGCAGGAGTGGTAAGCTCCGAATTTGAGAGGGCCACAAGACCCCAAGGAGGATCTTGGCTGAGCCTGAGCACAGCACTAAAGATAGCAGCACATTGGGACCATTTAGACTCTGCATTCAGCTGTCTCCAACAGGTGCAGAATCCTCCCAGTGGTGTCCTGAGCTATGTGGAACTTTAACCTCAAATGCTGCCCCCACAAATGATCCTGAGTCAAAACAGATGCCAAGCCACTCATATGCATGCTATGCATGCTGTGCTTGTGTGTGTGTGTGTGTGTGTGTGTGTGTGTGTGTGTGTGTGTGTCTATTCTGTCTCTTCTCCTGCAGGTAGCTTCTGTGCACTCACTCCTTAACCTACACTCCTCTTGGGCGCCAGAGACAGTTCAGAAGCCTGAGCTACTGAGGAGTCTGATTTAAGATCTAGTAAGGGAAACCTGTTTGTTCACCTAAGGTTATCTAACCAGTTGCTAAAGGAGGGGGCTCAGTGTGCAGATGACTAGAAGGGATAAGGAAATTTATTTGGTGCCTTGTAGGGTCAGCATGCCTTTGCAGTTTCCTTAGGGAACAATGGCTCAGGAGGGCAGGAGTCTGCCTGTCTCAATGAAGCTCAGGTAGGGATGGGGGTGGGACACTAAAGATCAGAGTTACCAAGGGCAAGAAAAGAGTATGTGGTGCACCTGTGGCATATGTTCTGGGTATTTCTGTTCCCAGCTCAGGGAACTTTCTAGGATTCCAACAGAGGAGGCCCAGGGACTTGGACTCCAGACCAAATGCAGGTGCAGTTCCAGGCCTTAGGGTAGTGGCTCCTTTTCTGACTGCCCAGGAAAGCTGAGCACATAAGTACATTCTCTTTACAAATATGGACTTGATGAAGAGTCAGGAAAAATTTCCCATCCCTATGGACTGTGCAAGCACTAGTGCAATGCAAAATGGAGAAGGCTGACTCACAGACAGCCTTAGGGTGATGTCAAGTCACTACTGGACATTGGAGTAAAGCCAGTCAGTGGATGGCTACAACCTTGCCATGTCTGACTTCCACAGAGACTGCATGCCAATAGTGGACACAGTTGGTAATCAGCTTGTCTGCTGTTTGCCCCACCGCTGGACAACCAGTCTAGGTCAGTGACTCTCCTATTGCTGCAACCCTTTAATACAGTTGCTGTTGTGGTGATCCCCCCCCCCACCACAGAATTATTTTCATTGCTACTTTATAACTGTAATTTTGCTACTGTTATGAATCATAGTGTAAGTATTGTTTTTGGAGGTAGAGGCTTGCCAAAGGGACCATGACCAAAGGTTGAGAACCATTGGTGTAGGTGTACATGGCTGCTAGAGTGGCACCCACTCTGGGAACATTGCCTGCAGAAAACCAGTTTGGCAGTTTGGGTGCTTCAAAGTCCTTCTCCATAAGGCCTGGTGGAGAAGAGTCATTAGGGCTCAGGGATTGGTGTCCTGAGAGTATGGGCAGGGAGACTCAGGGGTCAGCCACATTTGGATGACTTTCACCTGTAAGATCTCAAAACCGAAAATCTGGTTGCGCTGGTCAAAAAGCATATGCATCCAGGGCAGGCAATTACAAAGGCCTGGAATGTTGACGATCTTTCAGCCAGGGAGGGAGGGAGGCCTGTAATATAGCCCCCACACCCAACAGCTGCCCTGGGCCGGTGTGCCAGGTGTGCTCGTCTGTTCCAAGAAAGGGAGGGATTGTTTGCCTGTTCCAGTCCAGAGTAGGTGGGCGACGGATTCCAGAGCTGGTCGCTCATTACATGCCTGTGCTGAAGTAACATGGCTCCACATCTCCACCCTCCTGCACGCGGCAGCCCAGTGACTTCTCATTGGAAAGTGGTAACCAGCCCAGTGAGGACGCACCCTCCGGTCACCAGGGGGCGCGTCTTCGCTGTGGCGCATGCGCCTTTATGGCTTCAGGAGGAAGCTTGAGCTCTTTCAGTGTCTTCCGGCTCAGATAAACTTCCGGCTCGAAGGTCACGGACAAGATGGTTCCCCCGGTTCAGGTCTCTCCGCTCATCAAGGTGAACCCTCTTCACCGTCACTGCACGGTGCTCAGAGCCCTTGTCTGCCCCTTACCACTACCCAGAGCTAGTATCGCCCACTCTCGAGAGTGCTGCCTGTGGTTTTAAGGCAGTACGAGCTGCGATCCCATATCTTGGGCCTGGCGATCCCTGCACCTCCTGCCCTGTTCCCTTCTACCCGTGCTCCTCGAGCTCCGATCCCCTCACCCACTGGTAATGCGCCTTCTGCTCTAATGTTTCTTTCTGCAGCTCGGCCGGTACTCAGCCCTGGTCCTCGGCATGGCTTACGGCGCCAAACGCTATAGTGAGTTCGGGAACTCGGGTGGGGAAGAGAGCTGGCTGTGTGCGATATCCAGGGCGTGCAGCTCCTGGGGAGGGAGACAGCGCTAGGTCCGCAGGGGAGGAGTTGGGGACAGCTGCCTGGAGAGTCCGGAGTGGGCTTTTCACGCAACATTTTTAGGGAAGAAGGTAATTGCTTCTGCTCCCCAGGTTACCTAAAACCCCGGGCAGAGGAGGAGAGGAGGGTGGCAGCGGAGGAAAAGAAGAGACTAGACGAGCTGAAACGGATTGAGAGAGAACTGGCTGAAGGTACGGCCCCTAGCCCCCACTCCTACACCCCAGGTTTTCTGGAAGTAACTGCTGTTCAGTGAACCAGGGTGGCACATGTGTCTAGTGCTGTCCTCGGCGGAGCCCAGTGGAATGTGGGGGCCATGGCTGCAGCACTCACTGCCTTCAGAGAGGCTATAGCCTCCCTGACCCCTCCTCCCTTTCTGTTGAGTTTGTGAAGATTCCAGTCAGGTAGGGCCAGTGGGGATGCAAGAGATGGTTTTAGTGATGAAGTTAGGTTCTCTTGGAAGTAGATTCTGGATTTTTCTTAAACTGCAATCCTGAAGTCCTCGAAGGTGGCCCGACTGTGTATAATGTGTGACACTGTCCCTTCTCTATTTTCCTCTCAAGGTGACACCATACTCAAGTGAAGCGCCCGTGAGCTAGCCCTTCTTTAGCCGCTGAGGATGAATAAAGCTTTGTCGTGTCATGGACGCTGTGGCTTCCTGTCTTTACTGCCTTGGTTGTTTGCTTCTAGGGACCAGCCAGCTCTGCAGTTGTTGCCTGGCTTCTCTTCGAGGGTTTAGAGGAGTTAATGCTGCTAAGAAGAAGTAGTTGAGCAGTACAGAGAGGTGGGAGTAAGGCCGAGCTGGGGCTCCCAGGATGCCAAGGAAATAGACTGGTTTAACCTCCGGGTGCAGCTTGCTCTGCTGTTGAGTTCACCTGCTCTTGTCAGCAGCTCAGACCCTGTGCAGGAGGACAAGTTGGGGCTGATGTCTTCAGAATAACGTGGGTCTTGTGTCCCCAATTCATAATTTTCTTCTTGGTCTTGGAAAGTGATCTAAAGATGAGCTATTCAAGGAAGTTGCTCTTTCATAAGAACCCCTGGGCTCCTGCATGCCAGCAGCTGGTGTGCTGGCTAATTCATTTCAACTTGAAACAAACTAGTCACTGGGAAGAGGGAACCTCAACTGAGGAATTGTCTAGCAGATATTTCTTTTTAATTAATTTTAAAAAATTTCAATTTACATTCTAACCACAGTTCTCCCACCCCCCTCCCGTGGCCCCCTCGACTCCCCCTAGCCTGCCCCCACCCACTCTTCACAACAGGTAAGGGCTCCCATGAGGAGTCAGCAAAGTCTTGCAGGACTAAGCCCCTTCCCTCTGCAATAAGGCTGAGCATGGCATCCCACCATAGGGAATGGGCTCCAACAAGCTAGCTCAGACACCAGGGATAGATCCTGGTCCTACTATCAGTGTTGGGGCATTTTCTTAATTGATGGTTGATGTGGGAGTGTCCAGCCCACTGTGGGTGGTGCTGCCCCTGGGCAGATGGTCCTGGGTTGTGTAATAAAGCAAGCTGAGCAAGCCAGTAAGCAGCATTCTTCCATGGTTCCTGTCTCTGCTCCTGCTTGACTTCCTCAGTGATGAACTGTGATGGAGATATGTAAACCAAATAAACCCTTAAACCCCCAGTTGCCCTTAGTCATGGTTCATCACAGCCTTCAGTTTTATGCCTTGAACAAGTTTCCTAGGTTTAGAGCCTTTTTTTTTTTTTTTTTTTTTTTAATGAGTTGAGAGTTCAGAGCCTTTTGTTTTAGAGGCAGAGTTGCTTTCCCCCTCTCTTCCCCCCCAGATGGTATCCCACTATCTGGGATTCTGAGGATAAATTTGCCCCCTCTCTCCTTTGCTGTAGGCAAATTGCTGGATGCATTCTCTGCCCAGGAATGGCCCCATCCAGTTAGTGTTCTGTCAGGAGAAATTCTTTGGGACCCTATGAGATTGCCCCAGAGTACATGTTTAAAAGGCTAGTCTTGTGAAGTTCCACTGGATTTATGCATCATCTTTGCCTTTCAGACTTCCTGCACTATCAACAGACAAAGCTGCTGACTGCATCCTTCATGAGGTCCCCACCCAGGCATTCAGTACAAGTTATTCCCATTGAGGCCACTTCTATTTGATCTCACCTCCTCTCATAGCCTTGACCCAGCAGAGTCAATGGATCAGATACATGCCATCAAATGATGTTAGTGTAAAACCAGCAAGTTACTTTCTCTATTTTCTGACTTTGGGCAGAATATCTGTATACATGTATTCACAAGAGTAGAGCTCTGATTTCAGGCACAATTCACAAATCCTTTGTAAAGATCTTTGTGGAAACTTTAGCAAACCAGATAAATATGGACTCACCATTTAACATTCATAGTTGGCTTTAATTTGAAAAAAAATTGAAAATTTCAAAATAATCAGTTATATTTAATCAATTTTTTTTTTTTTTTTCTGTTTCCTAATGTCATACCAAACTTCTATAGGCAGAGTCCATCTCCAGTGAGTAAAAGTGGCAGGAGGGACCAGAAGCCACTAGGCAGGTTTTACAGGATACAGCAGGTTGAGGTCTTGGGTGCTGGACCACCATTGCAAATTTCTGTGCCCACTGCAAGAGAAAAGACTATGAGTAGTCGCCTGGTCTACCTTCTATACCCAGTGTCCTCTATTAGCACCTGTAGGCTCTCCCTGAAGGGGTTGAACTAGGTCTGTGGCCAACCCAAGCCGATTATGCTGAGCCTTACTACTTGAGCCTCTGCGGTCACTGTGCCCTGATTACTTTCAGCCCTGACCTCCCATGACCCAGAAGCTGCCTTATTCAATGTGCTCTCTCAATGGCCCTGGATAGCCCCAGGTCCAGGGTAAACAAACCCAGGGAAAGATAAGATAATGTCACTGGTCTCATCTGGGTTGCAGCGGGTTGTTCAACTGAGATACTGTGCCAATTTAACTCTTGCTTAGCTCACTGATTTTGTTTTTGCCTTTTTGTTGTGTTTAATTCAGATTTGCTCTTTTGTTTCTGAGGATAGTTGGGGTGGGGGGGTTGTTGATTACTGGCATGTTCTACCATACCTGGGAAGGAACTACTACTTAGTGAAACAAAAGAGTAATAGGAGTTCAGTGAGTTTACTTCCCATGTACAGGACTATACCAGCATTCCTGTCTGTCTTAGTGAGAGAACATTTTGGTCGGATCAGTTATCTACATGGCAAGAACTACCATGTCTCTTGATGGACAGGATAGATGGATGGGGCATTCTTTGGCTCCAGAGCCTTAGCCTCAGCTGTTGGGCTATGTGAACCTTTCTGATTCCTTGGTGGTTTTCTGCCACATTAAAGCATTGACTTAGGGGTTAACTATGAGCCCATCCCAGTTCTCTGAAGGGCACAGACCTTTCTTGGCTGCTATTCTGTCTTCTTCCTTCTTTTTTTCTTCCTCCAGGGCTTTGACTTTGGCCTCATACTCATCAGCTAGTGCTTTCCACTCCTTTCTGTTATTTTGCAGTCTATCAAACATGGGCAGGATCTCTTCGTGAAAACGGGAAAATTCCTAGAGGGAACTGAGAAGTCACTATGCTGTCCTACTGCTCCTGAAGCACTCAAATAGTAGCTCTTAAAGGCCCCAGGCTTCCCTACCACCAGACTCATTGGACTGAGGATGCTCTAGTATCTGTGGCATGTTTTATTTTACAAGTTGTAGGGACAGTGACGTGAGGCCCTACACCCCCTGACACTTGTTAAGATGGCTACTATTGATCCCCAGATCACGTGATCTGTGGCTGCCACAGGCCTGGCATGAGCTTGGTTCCCCCACCCTCAGTCTATTTCACTTGGGACTGACCCTTAGGTAGTGTCACTTTTAGTTGATCAGCATAGGAAAGAACCACTGAAGTGTCCCCTTTCCAGATAATCCCTAAGGAGGAGGACAGGATAGGAGTTTGTGTGAGAGGACTTAGAATAGAGCAGAGAATGTCAGCTGCAGCCAGGTTGGAAGCTTCAACAAGCCCTACAACTGCTTTCAGGTGATGTAGATAATGGATTAAGGAAGACAGTGAGGCCTACAATAGCCACCTGCTGCTTGCCTGGATGCTTAGGATTGACTTCCCTTGGAATCACACGGCCTTACAATGTGGGGTCTTTTACCACTGAGTGGTGTGGAGCTGGGGTGTCAAGTGCATAGTCAGGCCTATCTTTTGAGTCTCTCCAAGTTCCTACCTTATGTCCTAGAGTCAAATAACAAAACTCAAAGACTTGGCAGTACATTGGTGCTTAAGCAGCTAGTGGGAGTATGGCTGCTATCATGTTATGTTCTTCAGGTTGTATTGGGGTGTGCCAGTGGAGACAGATAGACTCAGGCTTGCCTTCACATTTTCACAGGTATCTAGTAGGCAAGTTGCAGTCACTTTCCTGAAGACAGTGTGCCAATTGTGGTTAAAGTGGCACTCTGAAACAGGGATATTTAAAGTGAGACCTTAGGGGGAGTAAGGGCCTTCTGGGGATGTACTTGGTGCTTCTGAAGGACATTCACAAGTTTTGGGGCAGACCATTTGCTGGGTAGGTTGAGCTGGGTGCTAAGATAGCATAAGATGTACAAGAGTACCCTATCAGATAAGGGTGGAGACCACACCTATGTCCCTGTAAAGTCCATTCCCTAACCACTCGTGGCCAGTCCACCCCAGCCAACAAAGAACACTTCGGCTCCGTACCTTGTACACGAAAGTACATACAAAGTCGATGAAACCAACTTGCAGTTTGGGGAGCTCAGCTGCTTTGTTCCGGTCCATCATGGGCTTGTGGAGGAAACACAGGCAGATGACATGGGAGCTGCTCCTCCCTGTGAGACTTTGTTAGCTGGCAAAGGCCTCTTTCTTGCTGAGTCTGTACCTTGCCTAAAGCCTGCTCCAATCAGTTCTTCACATTAGTAAGAGCTGGCTGGGGAGATAAAACCTTTGCCTCCCATATCCCCAAGTGGTCAACCCAAACCTATGTAGTTCTTAGTTCCTATGTGGATAGATACCATCCCTGGTGTTAGCAGCGGGCCTACCTCTAATCCTAACATCCTCATTGTCTATCTTGCCAGGGACTACTACCTCCCCTTTTCCATAGGGTTGTCCTTCTCAGAGTTGCCCTCTCTGGACTTCCCTGCCTAGTATATGTACTGTGTAGTTGCATAGGCCCTGCAGGCTCTTGCTTGTCAGCTGCAACCCAGGTCTTCCAATTTTTCATGATTTCTATTTTACAAGATGCCAGATTACCCATGCTCATGCCAAGGAACCAGAAAATCAAGGTTAAGACTCAAGGACCTTAAATTCCTGGGGTCTGGAGCACTACCAAGTATTCTAATTCACATGTCAAGATGGAAGATTCTGGAAGCAACTCTCACAATGGGCTGTTGATCCAAGACAGTCCTTTCCAAGTCTCCTTGTTCCCAGAACTCAGCAGCCACAAGAAGAGCAACCTGAGCACACACAAAGGATATAGTGGGGCTCTATGTTCAGGAGCAGTAAGTAGGCCCTCCCCTTGAAGCTCTGCAGGTAGTGTTCATATGGTGCCTCTCACTGCTGTACCCAGACATTACTTCAAAAATCAGCACCATTTCCCTGTAGCTCCCTAGGTGGAGACCCAAGGTGGCCTGTGAAGGGTTACTGAGTCCAGATGTCATCAATCCTGACCTTGCTCTGGACTTCCCAGGGCTTAGTAATAGCAGACAGGTCACATGCAGTCATCATCATGGCCCTGTGGACAGACAGAGCAAACTACATGTCCTTCTGAGAATAGACTGAACACATTTCCTAAGCATCTCTGAGACAGTCCTGGGGAAAGTGCTGGTCCTGAGTCACCACCTTGTAGGTGAAGAAGGGGAGCTGGGGATGAAGCAAGTGGTGATCAAGGGTCCTAAGGGAGGCTATCTGATTCTGAATTCTGTGCTGATGTCCATGAATCTTGGGACAGATTACACCAGTGCCTTTGCTCAATTTAGAGAGAGCTACTCTTGTTTTGGAGTCTCCTATCCCTGCAGTTAGGGAGGTCTGCTGGGCTAATTGGCCAACAATAGACCTGCTACTTACATGACTATCTCCTTTCGTGTTGTCTCTAGGGATAAGTACTCGATCCAACTCTTCTTGTCTTCATAGTTCTTAGACTCATCCACAATCTTCTGGAACATTGTTCTCTTCCTGGTTCCAAAAGGAGGGGAGGAGCAGGTGACCTACTGGTCATGGCTATCTATGTCTGCTAAGGGCCCCACCCATCCCTCCTGCCTCTGATGCGTTCTTACTTGAAGTAGAGAGCTAGGTCAGTGGCAATGATGGCAATGTCCATGAGGTGGATCACATGTTCATGTTGCCGCCGGTTCAGGTTCTGGTAGATGTTTAGGCTCTGTGTAGACCATCAATTGGTGTTGGGTTATAGCAGATGTTGCCTGTAGTACCCTTGGTTTTGACTCTCAGGGCTTACTCTGTCTTACTCCCCTCATTCAAACTTGGCCTTTACCTATGTGATGCCAATCAATCTTATGGCAAGAATCTCTGTCCTCCCTTGGTATCTATCCTCTGCCTGGGAAGGTCCTGGATCTGATATGTTTGCTCATTTCTATGATGTTGTATCCACTAGTGGCCATTCCTTACTACTGCCCCTTGAAAACAATTCTACCCCATGCTGGGACATTTCTAGATGGGAGCCTATCCTGTAGCACCTCACACTGAAATCCATGCTGCCCAGGGCCTCCTGCCTGTCTGCTGTAGCTCAGTGGAAGACCCATCTCCAAATCAGGAACAAACCTCCTCTGCCAACAGAAACTTCCCAAATTCCAGGTGGTGCCGTTCTAGAATTGAGGAGCCATGTAACTTGGCTAGAGGATTCTGAGATCTGTTGCATATGTTATTAAAAAAAAAAAAGACACAACAAAAGCAATGTTAGAAGGCAGTAGGATAGGGTCTGACCCACCTGGCACTGTGCCTTCAAGGTAGCCCCTCTAAGTACTGACTACAAGACCGCAAAGGCTGACCCTAAGGGAGCTTGATTTATGGGTTACCATGCCCACAATAAGCCTGCCTTCCCCACAGCCTACTTCATCTGGTACAGGTTGTTGGTGCCACGGTGGTCAATGTCATGGCACAGGCCAGCTGTAACCATGGCAAAGGCTTCCAGGTCTGTGTAATAGCTCTTCAGTTTTCCTGTCTGTGGAAAGAAGTTCAGTTCTGGGTTCTTCCACTGGTCCAGCTATCTGGCTCCAGAAAGCAGAGGTTAAAGGGAATGCAGGGCTGGCCCAAACCTATTCATTTGTCCACCTAGGTCCCTTCCACCCATTGCCAGGATTGAGTAAGCACAGTGGGCATCCTTGGACTAGAAATTAGTTAGCTGTGGTCTTTGCCCCATCTTACCCCATTCCATCTACATGCATACCATGAGTAATGTAAACATGGTCTGGGCTACATTGAAGCCATGGCGCCAGTTATGGTAGGTAATTCTTCGATAGGCTTTGCTGACAGAAAACAGGAACCGCACCAGGACCTGGGGAAGCAGAGGACATAATAGTCTCTGGAAGCTACACATTAGTCTACAAAACACCACGTGAGAATCTACCCAAGCTTCGAAAACTGCTTGTAGTAGAGCTTGCCATAACCATTTTCCTACTTCTAACTTGTTGACATCAGAACCCTTGTTCCTTGTGCCCATCGGCCCATTACTGTTTAGGAAGGGCTCTCACATAGTAGAGCTAAGAACAGCTCCAGCCATTGGAAATTTCATGCCTCTATCTCCGTGGCCCAGACCACAATGGAAAGAAGACCCCTGGGATGTGGGATACTTTGAAAAACAAACAAAAAAGAAAAACAAAATGAAAACTTCAGTTTTATGTCTGAATGTTTGAATGGGTCAGATATGTGGTCTGTGAGCAGGAAGGTGGAACACCTAGACATTTTCTTCAAGAAAGAGAATACAGGCTAAGGGAGTGTTCTACTATTTCCATTATGATATTTAAGGTCAAATAATTATTTGGAAGTATTTTTTATTCTGGTGCTGCTTTTTCACATTTTTTTTTGTCCCATTTCTCTTAGAATTTAGTAATACTTCTTTCTGAAAGCCTGCCACTCTTGTTTTCTGGTGAGCATGAGAGAGTATTCATTCTTCATGTGGACAGGTGTGGAGGTGGATAAAAGATAGAGTGAGAAAGCTCAGGGAGGGAGCAGAATGGTGGGGGTCTGAGCTGGAATAACCTTCCCTTCCTCCCAGTGTGATCCCTTAGGGCTCTCCTGTAGGCAAACCTAGAGGATGCTATGTGTTTTCTATTCTGATGAGCAGCTGCTGCAATCCCCTCAGGATCCTATGACAAACTTCCTACTTCCCTATAAATAAGAAAAGGATGCCCCCAGAAGAAGTGTTGTTTGGAACACCTAATAAAGAAACTTTCCATCCATCCATCCATCCATCAATCCAATCCATCCATCCATCCAATTATTTATTCTAGGTATATTTGCTGTGTGTATTTCATTGATTCTATGATGGACATGTTTGCCACCAACACTTTCTGTGGGACATGTGAACCATCCCCTCCAGTACCACATGCCTTTCATCTCTTAGAGGATTTGTAACCCTTAACCACCCCTCCACCTCCTCTTGTTCTGGAACCTCCAACCATATCTTCCCACCTCCTGAGGAATCTGGAACTTTCGGACTACACCCAGCTCATAGTACATCTGGATGCCACATTTGACGAGCTCCAGCTCAGTACACTCCAGGTCAGAGAAGTGGAACTCATAGATGTCAAACTTGGTAGGCCCTGGAAGTTCTTCTTTCTGTAAGAGAGATTATGGGCTGAAGGAAACAGGCCTACCACATCCCCACTGGTTCCTAACCTTTTTTTTTTTTCTTAACCCTTGTCCAAGCAAACATTCGGGTATATCTGGTGGTGTTGGCCTTCAGACTTAGAGCTAGGTCACTCATATTGTCCCAACTTATCCTACTCTATTGTTTCCACCCACCAGGTAACCTGACTGTGAGTAGTTTTGTAGCAGTGATGTTGGAAAAATAAACATAAAGATATATACATGAACAATTACAGAGGCACATACATGGATTCAGACCTACCCATATGGACACATGGGCACTTATGTGTGCACTCACAGCACACAGAGACATTGATATTCAGGACATGTTGAATACATTAATAAACTCCAAAACTATCCAGTAAGACAAACAGCTCTCTGGTGATTCTGGTAAATCACACAGGTGACAGAAAAAGGTAGGTGTCCCATAACTGCCAAGCTGATGTAGGGATGTTCTCTGGGAGACACACAGACATATGTTTGTATGTGTCTCTAATCACACAAGTGCACACAGAAGTATGTGAACACAAACACAGATACATCTAAACTAGGGGCTACAGCACGTGGTTACTCCTGTAGGGAGGCAGCACAGATGGACACTTGGCACAAATTGTACCTGCAGGAGCTAAAAAAAATGGATCATTCTGTGAAACACAGAGAATGCAGGAAGGTAGACAGACATTCAAAAGGGCAAATATGAAGTAAACTCTAGCTGGACACTCTCAGAGCCAGTATTGTCACCTCTGTTGGAGAGGGTTCACATTCCTACACAGGTAGCACTAACATCATGAGAGGATGCTGTGTGTGCCAGGGCTCTCTCCTGCTCATGAGAGTAGCTTGTGTCCATTGGAAGCAGGTTCTCACCAAGATTTTCCCCAGCTCATCCTCCTCACAGTCAGCAGGCTCTTTCCCCAGGCGATCCCTTGTTGGCTAACAGAGAGCAACAGGTGAATTGTGGGACTGAGTGATAGTGCATTTTACCCTATATGACAGAGTGACAGCATCACCTATACACCAAGTGATAGGTCGGCAATATCACCCTTACCCCAGGAATAGCAACCCCTTCATTCCAGAAATGTTACATAGTAAACTCATTATCACTCCCCCACAAGGGACAAGATGATAGGATCATCTTTACCCTATGACTATGACAAAGTAATTGTTAGCCTTCACCTCTTGTGACAGAATTGCAATATCATGCCCATCCATAAGTGTGTCAGTGGTGCTGTCACCTTTACCCATGTGACAGTGACAACATCACCTTCACACTGTAAATGTAACAGAATGATGATGTGCCATCATGGAAGATGTTGAACACAAGGCTTCTGATCACTGAAAGACAGCAGTTGGCTTGCGCTCAGACATCCTCAGTTCCAGACATAACCGCTCAGTTCCTGGGAATCCTGACTTTCTTTACTTTCCCTGTGCTGTCCTTAGTGACACATGGATTACAGATGGAATAATGAGATGGGCTAGTAAGGCTCTGGTCACATATGCTCACTGATTAGAATGAGACACAGGACAGTGTCTGGGTTGTACAGTGTGTAGTATTAGAGTTAGACCTAGCCTGGGCCCAAGGGATATGTTCTGCCTCCTCAGATAGAGAGTCCCCATAGAATACCAGGCTCAGTACCAAGATTCTCTGGATCTCATCTTTGTCGCATCTCACATGGTACAGAACCATGTCCTGGGCGATGTCCTTACGGTTCTCCAGCTTGTTCATCTTGTCATAGGTATCAGTATTCAGCACTGACCATCCCAAGAACTGTGTCAGAGACTGGAGGTAGAGAGCAGTGTCATCCCGTTAGCTAATCACTCTGGTAAATATTTACTATGTTCTATGCCTGTGGTTTAGTGGCCAGTTCCACAGACTGCTACAGTACAGTGGATGCCCCAGAGATAGAACTTTGAAAACTGTCCTTGTCTCCTTCCTGATTTAGTGCTAAGCAGGGTCCATATGTATGTGGAGAGGGACAATACTCACAGACATCCCACACCATCATAGATGGACACCTTGGTCCACATATGGTACTGGATATTTACCTCCATGAGAACTTCATCTTGATCATCAAAGGGCTTCCCATCTTTCCTGTTGTAGAAGGTCGCCACCCCCACAATCTCCTCCTTCTTGTTAACAATGGGCATGGAGAGAACATTCTTGATCACCCACCCAGAATCATCCAGGGGCCCCTCCTGTAGAAAGCAGAGAAAGAATGAGGTCTGGTAAAACTTGGTGCCTGGAGGTGGGGATAGACCCCCCCCCCCAGTTTCTCTGCCCTCAAGCTGCACTCATAGATTGAATGCTGTCTCTTTACTTTCACTTGTCTGTGAACTTTATGTTCATAGGCTTTGTGTCATAATTTTCTGGGCTGGAGGAAGCTATTTTCCCACCATTGCAAAAGTCAAGGGCACATGTGGGTCTAGTCCCCACGAGTACTTCTTAGAAGTACTTCAAAGCCTTGCTCTTAAAACATTTACTCAACAATTGCTCAACAAATGAACCCAAATTTCCACTCTACATTGAACTTTGAACATTATGTAGTTGGTTTATTATGTCTTCCAATATGAAATATGGATACTATTTTTTGGCCAGTTCCTCCAAGAGGCTATTAGTGACAAAGCATGTTCCTGCTTACATGACTTTCCTAAGAAAAGTGCTAGGTACACCTGGGTGTGTTTGTCCAAACCCCAGATAAAGACAGGTAGAGCAGAGAAACTCTAAACCCTACTAGTCCCAGCCCACAGGAGTTTGCCACCAGATTCAATCAAGTGCTACCCAAGAAAATTCAGCTGAGTCCTACCAGGGTTGATTGAGCTCAAAGATTAGCTGACTTCATCTGAACATAGTGAAGAACAGCTGAGCCCAGATGAAACCAGTGAAGATAAACTAAGACCAGACTAGACCAGCTGAGACCAAACAGGATCCACTTAGCACAGATAAGCTTTCCTGAGTCCAGCCAAGATCAACTGAGACCAGATGAGGTCAGCTGAGACTAGCTAGACAAGATCACCTGAGTCCAGCCAAAATGAACTGAGTCTAACTGAGCCCACATTAAATCAGCTCAACAGTCAACCTGGAAGCACAAATATACACTTATTGCATGGTTTCTCAGTCACTGAGAATTAAATTCTTTCTTTTATTTTTCCTTTGCTTTTTGAGACAGAATCTCACTCTTTAGTCCAAGTTGGCCTGGGGCTAATTTGCAGCAATCCTTCTGCCTCAGCCTTCTGTGTGATGGAATTACAGATGTGAGTGAAATTGTTTTATCTGTGTATATCATACACATGTGTGTGCCCATATGTGTGCTTGTGGAGGCCAGAAGTCCATGTTGAATGTTTTCCTCTATTGCTTATTTCATGAAATAGGGCTTTTCTCTGAAACTGGAGCTCACTGATTGGCTAGATTTGATGGCCACTAAGGCCCCAGGATCATCTTGTGTTGCCTGCTCTTATCCTCTAACCTAGCACTGGGATTATAAGTAAACATGCTACCATGACCTTTGTTTGTTTGTTCATTTGTTTTGTTCATTTGTTTTTTATGTGGGTTCTGGGGATCTGAACTCAGGTCCTCATGCTTCCATAGAAAACACTTTACCTACTGAGCCATCTACCCAGCCCCATAACGTTGTTCCTTATGTGGAAAAACCTAATTCAACCCATCATTTCTGAAACAAAATACTCCTCTTTCAAGTAAAATTCAGTTTCTAACAATGAATAGGCAGATTACCTGAAAGTTGAACATTTCATCAGCTGAAGCATTCATGATGTTACAGATCTGGGAAGGATCAGAAGCAATTCCATTCTGAGCAGCTGAACACATAAATACAAGCACTAGTCTACTTAGCCTTGCCTAAAGGAGAGGAGCTTCTAAGTGAGCAAGGCGAGAAGCAGCTAGCAGAAGGGCTGATAGGAGGTGGCAGGTCAACAGGCATTGCAACACTGGTAAGTACAAGCCAAGGCCTGGAGAGGGGCACTCACAAAGCCGCTTTCTGCTACATAGGTTGGAAGGCCACTGGCCAGGGCCCAGTGATCAGCTGGGGGTGTGCTGTGGGAAAAGAGCAGATATCAGAGGAATAGATGCTTGGATAGTTAGATGAAACAGTGGATGGGTTTACTTTATTCCCTTCTCTGAGCTCAGGTGAGGTAGGACAGCAGGACCAGAGCAGGTTCCTTCCATTCTGCCATGTTGGACCTCCTCATTTTGCAGGTTCCCCTTCCTTACTGGAGGCTCCTGACTTCAGCTGGCCTCTGGAGAGTCAGTGTTGGCTACCTGTTTTACAGTCCTGATTCCTGAATCCTACTTCCTTTTGGAGCCTGTTTGGGATGTTGACATGCTTATAGGTTCATGAGGTCACTGGCCACACAGTCATAGGACCATTGTCCCTCTTAGGGCTGTGCTCTGTACTAGACTTTCCTTTGAGGTGTGACGACGACCCCTCCTTGTGGAAGCTTTACCTACCAGGGCTGAGATGGTTGAGTTGCTGCTGATGGAGCCACCTGGGCAGCTCACCTGACTGCTTCAGATATCTAAGTGCCTTAGGCTGCTCACCTCCCTCTTCATCTGCCCATGTTCTCCTTGCTGTCCTGGGAAGGCCCTGCTGGCTCTACATAGGTGCTCTAGAGATGGCTAATCCAGAGGTTGGTTTTGAAGATGTTCCATCCTGGGGAGAGCAACTTGTCAAACCCCAGCACTTACGGAATGACTTTGATGTCTTCCTTGCCATGGAGGATATAATCAATGACTTTGTAGAAGACAATTTCCTGATAAAGAAAACACATCAGTGTAAGGACTCCTGGTCAGCATCTCAGAGGAGACTTTCTTGAAGGGAAAAGATAATAGCACCCACCCAGACACACCAATGACATAAGCATAACACCAATGTGATTATATATGTATGTCTGTGTGTCTGGTGTGTGTGTGTGTCTGTGTGTGTGTGTGTGTGTGTGTGTGTGTGTGTGTGTGTGTGTGTGTACCCATACATTCTCTCTCTCTCTTTCTCTCTCTGGCACTCATACTCATATATGTATATTGCACACCCAGGTTTAGCTCTATCTTTCCTGTATCCCATTTAGCCTCTCACCAACTGGGCCCATATCCCACACATACACTAAAATTCATGTGCAAGCATGTCACAATATTTGTAGGAGCTCCAGCAAGCTAAAGCAGATCTAGAGACTTCCCCCTCATTGTGGCAGTGCAGGCTCATGACAGCATATAGGTGTTTGAGGATACCCTATATCCCCATCCTCTTCATGAATTTGGATCCAGGGTAGCTAGATTGTGGGGTGGTTTCCACCTATCAGCTTGTCTTACCCGGCCATCAGGTGTTCGTGGGCCTGAGTATGGCTGGGCTTCCCCCATCAGCACAGGCCAGATATCAAAGAATTCCTGGGCAGAGAAGAAGAGAGAATGGAATCCTCAGCTTATGACCTGGGCCACACTGGGAAGGAGGCACCTGAGAGTTTGAGACCTCACCTTCTCTTTGGTCATGTCCAGGAGCCCCACTGAGTACCGGTCACAGTTTAGATAGGCCCGAACAGTGTAGAAGGCCTTGTGGAACTGCCTTTCAATGTCTGTCAGCTCTTCAAATACCTTATTAGCAGACCAGAGAAGCACCTGGAAGGGTGACACACATGTTGGTCTGTGGCCCCACCTGTCTGACCTCAGAAGCTTTTGAGTCAGTCTTACTATCATACACACTTCAAGTGTAATTCCTGCAAGGTTCCCAGCTGGCCCTGAATCCCAGGAAGACACTGACTGATGGTATGTAACTCAAGGTGTTCTATGAATAGAGGCTTACCTGTGTCTTGATTCCACAGGGAGCCTGGAAACTCTTTGGACGATGAGTGTTCTAGGCTTGCTTAGGCTGTATCACTGACACTACCTAGTGCTGGTTTCATGCTCAGTGAATGAGCAAATGAGTGGAAACTAAAGTCACTGTGAGCTTCAAAGGCAAAAATTTAAGTAACCATTCTCATCTACTCTACAGTTAGCCCAGGAGCATCATGGTTTGCAGTGTAAACAGCAGACACTTCCATGTCTCAGCAAAGTGAATTTGAAAGTGACTAGTTTGTTAATAACTACATAGGTTCTGGGCCAGTCCAGGTGCCAGAATCTCCTTTCACAAACCTTGGCCATGAGAACTTGTGTTCTCAAACACAAGTCTCTCAAGGCATACCACCAGCCCAGGCAGTCCTCCGACTCACAGTGGGCCTTGTCCATAGCAGAGTCTTTTCTCCACCGGCCTTCCTTGGAGGCTTCTTCCTGCCAGTTCTTCTTGGACCTGATGAACTCATTTCCCTCATATCCCCCTCAGTAGGAGGTAGCCCTTCCCAGTCTCCATCTTATTTGAGAGACTCAGCCCTATTCCTGCAGAAGCACCCTGGCCTCTGGCTCCCACATGTTCACATTCAACACTTTGCACACACCTTGCGATTTCCCAGGGGACATGAGTCTTGACAGCTTCAGGACTGCATTTCTACCCTCACACCAGCAGCCCAGTCCTAGACATCTTAAACAACAGCGCTCATCCCTGAGACCTTGGTCCAAACTGGTCCAGCGACTCCTTTGCCTCTAGCACCCTGGGCCTGCCTCATTCATGGGCGATTTCTGCTTACTTGTTATACACCTCAGCCATGCTTCTCCACAACAGAGCTGAATGCCACAACCTCAAAGTGTTGCCACGCTGCTTTGATAGTCTAGGGACTGAAAGGCACATGTGCTCCTTAGGGAGAAGAAGGGTAATGACATTTGTTGTATCTCTGAAGAATACCTGACTGATTGCATATGTATATGTGCATGTGCATGTGTGTGAGCATGTGTGAAGAGAAAGTATGTAAGCCTGTGAGTATGCATGTGTGGCTGTGTAAGTGCATGAGTGTTGAGTGTGAACATGTGGGTATGTGTGAGTGAATGAGCAAGAATGTGAGTCACCCATGCCTCTATCCCATAGACATTCCCAGAGCTTTATTTCCTAGGTAGCCAGAGCCAAACCCCTCACTGGTATTCAGGGTGTTTTTCACAGCTGCTGGCTGTCCTGTTACAGTGCAGGCAGACTCAACCATATATTTGACTTTGGAGTCATAGGAGAGTTGGTAGCTCAAACTATTCTCTCAGGGAGAAAGACAGAGTAAGGAGATCACAATACAGTGTGAAAGGCTAGTCTCTCTTTCTTTGTCCCCTCTAGAGGTCTCCTGTCACCTTCCCTATGTGGCTTGGCTCCTCTAAAAATTACACTCCTCTGTGAATGCCATCATGGACCCTGTTGGGGAAACAAGGTCTGTTGAGACCCTGAGGAAATGAAGACCCAGAGCGGAGAGGCATATCCAAGGACTGACATCCACACAGCCCTCTTTTCTTTTCTCCTTGTTTTCATTTTTACCTTTCCAATGGTCTCTGGCATACTCAGTAATCAAAGGAAGATCAAGCACATGCCATTGTCTGGGTCAGATCATGACCCTAGGGTTGCTCTGCTGTAATCAGCATTCTTGGCTTGCCTGACAGCACTTGGGATCTTCATGTCAGCAGCCTCTGAATGTTGGTACTCAGGCTTTACACAGCATGCTTTGAGGGCAGCAGCAGCATGCTTGTTGGGTTACAGTATCCCCATCAGGAGCTCTTCCTGTGGGAGCAGCACCCAGGCTTTGCATCTCCCTCCCTGAATGGTGGGCACTATTGCTGAGGCCTCTGTTCTACTCTATGCCAGAGGAGTCCTTGGCCTTAGCCCTTGCCAGCCTTTTCTTCCTTCCTTCTACTTTTTCTTCCTTTTTACCCAGATACCTCTACTGGGTAGCCTCTCTCAGGCTTACCCCAGCCCAGATACAAAAAGAACATCCTTGGTTGTAAGCAAGACAGGAGTGGAAAGTCATTCAGGGCAAAGCCATAGGGTCACTTGAACTTTCAAGAATGTTAGGAAACCATACTCATATGAATTTTTTGACTTAAAATATGGAAAACTGTCTTCCTATGTTTTCTAGTTCCAAGGCTTAATCCTTAAGCCTTTGAATTGGTTCTTACACAAGAGGTGAGATTAGTTTTTTTTTTTTTTTTCTGCAGTTTGTGGATAGCGCCGTTCTCTGACATTTACCCTATTGTGTGTTCTTGGTACTTTTGTGAAAAAAAATTAATTGATTTGGCTCCATTTCTGGGCTTACTTACTATCTATTTTTATAATAGTGCTATACTAGGCTGTTTTGATTATTATAGCTCTGTAATCTATTGTGAAATGTATGGTTGGTATGGGTCACAGGGCTGAGCAGTGGGGAGTCCAGGAGTGGTGCTTCTGGGCCTTAGTAGCAACATCTGCATTATATCAGTTCTCTAGGAAGACAGTCTGTCTATCTGGCAACACTTATGCACAGAAGGCCTGTATTCAGGAATGTTTTCTTATAGGCCTAACTTCTGAGTCTCTTCATCCTGATGTTATAATTTGAATGATAATGGCCTAGACAGTCTTATATATTTGAATATATAAGTTGGTAGAACTTGTATATTCTTCCCAGTCAGTAGAACTGTTAGGGAAAGATTATGAGGTATGGCCTTAGAGGAGGTGTGTTATTGGGGGCAGGCTTTGAGGTTTCAAAAGACTTGTGCAATTTGCAACTCTCTCTTTCTCTTTTTCTGACTCTTACATAAGAAACAAAATATAAGCTCTCAGCTGTTCTTACTGCCTTTTGCTCTGCTATTATGGACCCCAACACTCTGAAACTGCAAGCCTAACTGAAACAGTGTTTTCATGATGTTTTATCACAACAGTAGGACAGTAATAGAGATGGCTGCCTGGTCCTCTTAGCACCAGTACTGTGGCCCTCACTTCATGGCACACTAATAAATAACTGGTTATCAAATACCTAGGAATCTTGGTAGTCAGGTGTCAAAAATAGCTGTTATTAAAATTGAATCATGTGAATTTATGAGTTAAAATATTGTACTAAGAACAAAGATAAAGCCAGTATGGTAGCTCATTCCAATAATCCTGGCACTCAGATGGTCTCATAGATAGCAGTCACAAGGGAGAGATAAGGTGACCTCCATCTACGGCAAAGGATGTGCCTGGACCTTTGGACTGCATAGAGCAGTTTATAGGGCTGCACTGGCCTAGACTAGGTCTCTCCAGGATGGTTTCTCCTAGCTTGCATGAATGACACTGGCCTTCTGATATTTCTGGGCTCAAACAACAAACTAGTAGGCTATCTCTTCCATGGCATGCCCAGGGACCCATGGGAGCAGGACTTGTTGTGACTGTGGGTGTGAGAAATTCTTCATGGTTACAAAAGAATGGAAACTTCTGGTACAGGGTCAGGAATGTTTGTAATCACCTGTTAGTTATGAGGATGCAGACTGAGAATCAGTGACTTAGGCCTATCAGGAAATCAAGGACATGAGGACTCCACCAATATGAGAAGGAGGTGAAGTGAACCATAGAAAGACAAGCTCACCTGCAACTGAGCCCACAGAGGGAAAAGACTGTGTAGCCAGTGCTTGAAGGCCAGTAATGGTCCAGGTCCAATCTTAGGGGCCTATACTTTTGTGGAATTTACTTGCAGGAACTCAGCATACTTTTGAGGTAAATAGTTGAAAGAAATCTGTTTCACAAGGAGAAAGGAGCTGTCTTGGTCATGCCATGTGATCTAGTGGTAAGCTTGCCAATCATCCCAAGGAAGGGTTGTTAGCAGTCACTTCTCTAGTCTTCATGTCTCACTCATGGTTGGGGAGAGGGGTGGCAAGAAATGCTTGGGAAGGTGAACAGAAGGTTGCTGCATGCATTCTATCTTCAGGTTCCATTTTAATATGATACCACAGCAAAGCAGCAGCAAGGCTCAGTCTTAGAAATTGTTTTAGAAACTCCCAAAGTCAGCAGGAAAGAGTCGAGAGTAGCTTATTCAGCATGTCTTATTTCTCACCCAGTATGTTTTGCCAGTATGGCAAAACTCAAAACCAAACACTCCACCCCAAACAAACAAAACAAAACCTAGATAACAACAACAGTAAATTTAAAAAAAAAAACCAACTGAAGCAATGCTATGGCTAAACTGTGTTCTCCCAAATCTCCTAGTTGATGGTATCAGGAAGCCTTTATGAGAATTGTGCAGAAGCTAACCCCATGCCTTTGAACCTCCATAATTGAGCTAAATATATTTTCTTTGTTAAACAACTAGCTTCAGATATTTTGTTATAGCAGCAGAAAATGAACTAATATTTGCCTTATAGCTGGTCAGTCAGAAGCACAGCTAATAAACTAGAGTTGGCATTTGTACCAGAAGTGGGACAGTCTTTGGTACTGAGATCTTAACTTGTGGGATCTATCTCTGAGCAGATAGTGTCAGAGTAGAGTGAATCAGAGGACACTCTGCTGTGGAAGTGATTGCTTGCTTGGGGTGTGGCTAAAACCTTCTGTTCATCTGGGGTCACAGAAGTACTGTGTGTTGTGAAGAGAGTCTGTTTGAATCTCTTCTGTGTTTCAGAATTAGTAATACTGCCTAACATGCTCTCTGAGGCCAACACTACCAAGATAGCAAAGTTAGGTGAAAACATCACAAAGCTGGGGCTGGAGAGATGGCTCAGCGGTTGAAAGCATGTACTCCTTTTGCAGAGAACTTAAGTTTTGTTCCT